ATTGAAATAAGATATGTATGAAACAATCTGAGTGAATAGACATTTGTCTCAGGTTCATCCTTTCAGATGAGCCTGAAATGGAAACCAAGCAGCAGGCAACAGAAGCATCAACCTGTCTTTGCTCACTTCTTGGGCTGAGGCCTGGTCTGTGCATGGATCTGCTCAGAGTGCAGCAAAAGACAAAGAAGAGGGCTGTTTTTATTAAACTGAAATCAAGGAAATGTGATACTTTGTGAAAAGGAAGCCATGAGAACACGTACAGAAGTGAAACCAGCCAATATCACATCATATCATAGAATCATAGAATGGCCTGGGTTGAAAAGGACCACAATGATCATCTAGTTTCAACCCCCTGCTATGTGCAGGGTCACCAACCCCCAGACCAGGCTGCCCAGAGCCATATCCAGCCTGGCCTTGAATGCCTCTGGGGATGGGGCATCCACAACCTCCTTGGGCAACCTGTTCTAGTGCATTACCACACTTTGCATGAAAAACTTCCTCCTAAAACTTCCTTTCATCAGCTTTCCAGCTGATTTTTCTGCTTCATGAAAGCTGCATTTGCTGAGGTCTGCCTGCAAAATCGTGGCCATGATCAGTGTCAGCAGTTCTGTGGGCAGCTGAGCCGCAGAAGGCCTTCCTGCTGCTGGGATGCCCGCTCCCCTGCTTGGGTTCTGAGACCCATCACTGTGCAAAGGAGCCAGGATTTTGGGGACATGTTTACACAAATAAGGAAACATACCCTGGTTCAAGCTTGACTGTCAAACAGTTGGTTCGCCATACTTTTCTTATAAAAAGGCATTTTGTTGGTAAACCTTTCTTGCTTCTCAAACTAAAAGCAGGCCTGCCCCTCCAAAACCAACTTGGATCTAAATAGACCACAAGGTTTTTCAGGAAAAGGATGCCTAGTATAAAGACTGGCATCTGTAAATGTCAGTCTAACAGAAAGTTTGACTTTTCTGTTCCAAAATATCCTTCCCAGTTCTTAAGTCTGGGAAAATATTGAACGATTCAGTGAGGTTATAATGGTGTTTCAGTTTGCTGGAAACCTTTTAATTCTTTCCGCAGCTCCATTAAGCGTTTTCCTCACAGAAGAATTTGCTGGAATAGTTGATGTGGAATAAAATACTCCACAGTGCCCATCCAGGACAGAAATGTTCCGGCTCAGTACACTGCTGCCTTTTTCTTAGTTTAGCCCATTTGGGGAATTAAATTAAGCTAAAATGGATTCTCATTTGGAATAAGTTTCCAGTAACAGAGGTGCTCAGGAAACACTTTAAATGAATCTGAGTTAGCTTCAGAGCAATTTCCTAACATTGAGTCTCATTTTATTACCATACGTCCCAGGGAGGAGATGGAAAATGAAGAAACATACAAAATCCCCAGACGTCTCCACACGGCTTTCAAAAGGTGATTTGGCTTCACTAGGATCCAGCTGAGAGCAGCAGCGAGCGAGCGCTTAAGGAAAATCCCACTGTGTCAGACAACTTTCCCTTTCAAAGACTGGCTTCCCACAAGAAAGCCCATGGGAACCAGAGGACAAGCTGAAAGCCCCGCATTGCAAAATGTGAGTGACGTGCGTTGCCCTGAGGATTGGTCCTTGGGATGACTCTGCAGGCAGCGTGGAGTGAGTTTCAGACTTCATGCTCAGGGACTGAGGGGCCTACTGCTGATGTGACAAATATTGCAGGGAATGGAAAAATAAATGAAAAAAAAGCTCTCCCTGCTTCTCCCGCTATGGGAAGTGCAAGGCACCCTGTTCCACTTGCTAGGCAGCAGATTAGCAGAAACAAGTGGGAACGTGTCCTCACACACACTGTGATGACTCTGTGGATCATCAAGGGGACAAATGCATCAAAGCTCTGTTATACGACCAGCTAGAGTAGGAGCAGTGTTGGTATGTGTGATTGTTAGAGCAGAATTGAGTGGCTAAGAAAGGTCCAAGTGCAACTGTTCACAAACAGTAAAAAAAAATCAATGTCATTAAAAGTCCTCTGTCCACATTCACACTGTAAGACTCCGGGATGAGCTTGTTTTACAGCAAAGACAACCTGGCACACTTGAGCACAAAAGTTCTTTCCTAGCATTTATTTTAGGGATGTGTTACTTGAGAAGGGGGTAAAATCTGCATCCCATTGCTGAGAATCATGCTGTGCTGTCAGAGGCTAGAACACGATGCCAGCAGCTTGGGCTGGGGACTTCCTGCCTATTTTTAGCGTGTTGCAATCCTAGCCTCTCACCCACACTTTCTCACCCCCGCAGGATGTTGGCACTGGCCCCTCTGCAGCTGATGATGAGCTAGCTGCCTGCATCCCTTCCCGGCTGTGGCACTGGTGTTGGCTCTTACACACAGGCTGGGGAGAGAGCACACACTGAAACAGGGGTTGGTGGCAAAACTGCTTTCAGCCACTTTGCTGGTGGGGAAAATTTAAGAAGTGACTCAGAGCTCTCAAATACTTGATAGCACAGTGCTAAACCTACATGTGCATTTCTCACAGGAGCTGTTAGCGTGGTACCCAACCCTGACCTGCAGTCAGTTTGGCTGACCTCTCTGCTGTGAGCCACAACGTTATTGATGACCCCACAGCTAATTACCCATTACACACATCCCAGGATACCAGCCTGTGGTGGGACAGTGATTACTGTGCATCTGCTGTGCACAGTCCTATGCCGACAGTCAGCAGGAGCAGATTGCTGTACATCCCCCACCACCCCACCCCTCCATGGAGAGGGACACGCTTTACTGCTCACACATCTCTCTGAAGAGAAAGAAATTCCAGAAACCTGCTGGCTCTGCTCGTTGGATTTTGCAGCAAGCCCAGGTGCAGCTCTTGCTCGATAGGTTTAAGATCTATTCAAACAACTTCCAGACAGTGCAAAGCTTTTTTTAGCAAAGGCCCACGTACACACAGCGCTCCCATATGCACCATTCATTGTGCTGCTTCTTAATACTTTCCATATCAGTCACTGCTGCACATCAGGATATACATATTGAGATGTGCCCTTCCCTTTTGATTCATTCAGAATTGTCACCATGCGCACTGTGGATGTCAGAGTGGTGTCACCTGTCGCTTGCACTGCCCTGTGACACAGCACAGTAAAAGTGAGGCTGTTAGGAAATGACTCCTCGCTGCTGCCATGGCAGTGGCAGCAAACAATCAGAGCACATTAGATAACAGGGCATTTAATAATGTACTGTAGTAACAGTATCTGACAGGGTTTGGGCAAGGAAAAGTGAAAGGCTGGGACTCTGGCTTTGGCTTTAGACAGTGCTGGGTGATTCTGATAGAGCTGAGCACAAATTAAAAGCACATAGTCATCAGGCAGAGCCTCTAACTTCTGCAGTCTGCTTTTCCAAGAGCACTCTGTTCCTGGAGCTGCAGCTTAACACGACACGTTCAGTTTTCTTTTTTTCTATCACCTGTGGTTACAAAACAAAGGCTGAAATGTGATTTCCAAATACACAAGAGACTACAAAGCTAGCATCACCCCAGCCCCAACTACCCTCCCCCAACCCCAGTACTTTCTCTTCTGAATTAAAATGCTTTTGTTTGTTCTTAATTTACATTTAAGGTTGAGGACTAACATGAAGTGGCACAACATCACCATCCTTGCTTGCAGCCTTTCTCAGTGCAGTGGGCTGCAGGAGACAGCAAAATCCTCAACTGTGTGGAACTTAAACCAAAAAAAAAATTATTTAGACCTTGCCATGGAGGGTCAGAGACAGACTTCCAGCAGCTGCTGCTTAAAATAGCAATGGTTTTCTCAGTTTATAAATGTAAATACCTCTAATGGACACAGCACCACAGACAGGGGCCGCTTCCCCTTCATTTCTGTAAATCTAGTGCTCCAGATGAGGGATCAAACAAAACTGCCAAAATAACAATGCATCATGGAAAACCTGCAGGCAGGCTGAGATGATGCACGAGCACGGGACTGCGTGCAAATCCAGAAACAGGCTCCACGTCCTTGGATACACATCAACTGGTGTGCAAACACGGCAAGGGAACACAGCTCTGCTCCTTGCTGCTGCCTGGGTAAGGGCTGTGCCCAGGACCCCATGGCCATCACTCCCCATCAGGTCGCACAGCTGTGCTGCAACGGCCACCAGAAAGTGCCTCACTGAACACAAAGAGGTGATTTCACAACTAATGCAGAAACTGAACAGGCTGTTGAATTCAGCACAGTGTCGCAACCCCTGTATGTCCTTCCTTGGGCATGGGAGGCTCTTGCTTTTTGACAAAACAGCTTGTGCTTAATTCATCGTAGTTACTGTCTCATGAATAAAGGCTGCTTTTTTTTTTTTTTTTTTTTTTTTTTTGCATAATTTGAAATGTGGCATGAAGGGGCCTGAAAATTTTCAGGGTGGGTTGGTTTTTTGTGTGCAGTTTTTGTTTTATTTTCCCCCTTCCATTCTTGTGAGTCGGATGCTCATAGTTTCAATCCCATTCAGGAACACATTATCTTATGACTAGTATTGTCTTCCTGGCACACCACGTGAAGTCAGGCAGCGACTACTTGCTGACACTGAGCTAATCCCCAAGGAAAAAGATGATCCCAATAGACAGTGAACCCAATGGAAAGGCAGTTTTATCTGAAATGCTCTGGCCAGACCTCACACCTGCACTCACATAGCTGTAGGATCTGAGCACACAGACACAGAGGTAGTTTGGGTTTGCATCTCTCTTTGTCCCACAGCAGCTCTCCTCAATGTGGATGACCTTAAAGATGAGAAAAAAAAAAAAATCATGAGAAGTACAACACAAGCAGAAACCATCAGTTCAAACATTTTACATGAATCACCAAAACTGCACATTTTTATACAAACAGTGTAATGTAGCTCTTGATGGTTTTGCATCTCTGCAAACGCAAGAGGCAAAGCAGAAGACACAAATATATTTTGTTACATATAAACATTCCAATAACCAGAAAAAGAACGGGGGCAGGAATAGGGGCACAAGGAATTAGGGTAAGACAACTTTATTTATAAATAAATTCTCTGGGGGAAAGACATGAACAACTTTTCTACCAGAAGCCTTGCATTCTTGCCATATTTTCCTTAAACACTTCGAGGACTTGATTATTCTGAGAAGCTGCTGGTACAACACACAAACCTCTCTGATGGATCAGCAAAGTGCTAGCACGCAAAGGGCCCGGCACCAGTCTGCTCTTTGCTTCTGCACAGGGCTGATGGCAGAACTGGGTCTTCCCTTGCACCAAACTGGGCAAATCCATGTCTAGCAGCCAGGAACCTGAGCTCCCACTGTCCACGTAAAGCTTTGCTCTCCCTGCTGCCAAAAGAACACACATCACTGATGGGCTGAGGCTCCTTTCCTGCATCGCTGGAGATAGATTGTTTGTACATCAGAGATTACTGCAAAGTCCAGACCGGACCATTCTTGCCTGTGGAGAAAATGAGAAAGTACAAAAGGTGAGTCCAGGTTATGTTTATAGACGTTCTGTGCGGCCGCAAAGTGGTACAGAAACTAGAGAATGCAGAAGGGCACTGAAAAGTACCAGCTCCAGGCAGATCTCTTATGTCACCTACCTGTGAACAGTCTGCAGGGAGATGCGAGCATGGCTGCTACCACCACTGAGCTAGGAAAACAGAACATGTGTTGAACACCTTCAAGAATTAAAGCAGTACGTGAAATCTGGATTTGAAATTTCTAGATTTAAAGGAATGCATCTTCTCATGAACACTGCACAAAATTATACAAGTAACCATAACTCAAGCAGTTCCTTCTCATGCCCGATATTGCATCCATAATTATGCTCCCCTGGCACAGATTTTGATGTGTAACTCACATACTGACGTAACAACTTGTGTAACACACTAGGCTCTGTGTCATTCACCAGGCTGAAACTGTTGAGAGGAAACCCTGCCTGTTCAGCATTGCCTTTACGCACCTTCCCTGCCCTTCCCTCTCAGCTCCACGTCTGACTGGGCACATCACTTATTTACCTCCCTGTATAGCTCACGTTCATTTACACCATTCACAGTCAGATACACCATGCTGTTGGCAGCAGTAACATGGCAGAAAATAGAAGCTACCTGCTCTCTCCCATGGCTCTGGAGTGCTGTATGCTCCTCTTTTTCTCCACAGTATGCAAACAGCAATGTGTGTGTGTGTGTGCGTGTGTGTGTTTGATGGGGTATTTGGTCTCCCTTTTTAAGCCTGCTACTTATAGCCAAGCAGCTCTGTTTATGCTGGCTCTCTCGGATTAGTTCCTCTTACATTAGGATCAGTAGATTCTCATTGACTTCAAAACAAAGTTTAACCACAGCCGTCTTTAACTTTGAAACAAACTCTACTTGTGGGTTTTTGTTTTTTTTTTTTTTAGAAAAACATTATCTGGATATTCTTGCTAACACTTCATCCACCTGTTGTGACTCTTGGCATTGTTTGCAGTTGAGATTGCAAAAGATTGGAAAACACAAAGGAGGGGTTGGGAAAACCCTTGGGTTCCTGGTTTGGGATTCAGCTGAAACGTGTTGCTGTACGCTGACAATGTGTGGGCTTTCAGTTCAGCATGACACCCACTGCCATCGAGATGATGACATTGGAAGAGCAAAGAAACCTTTGCTCTTCCACATTCAGGTCATCCCATTCCAGGGACAAATTAACGGTCTTCTATTACTCTGAGATATCTATACTCAGTATTATTCTCAAGTACTTTTTAGGGTAAAATAAGATGCAGTAAATAGAAGTGCTGGTAACTTTCAAAACAGGTCCCACTATGTATGTATGATCAGTGTTTTGTTTATTACACATCTGTAAGGAGAGGGTTTACCCTCACCAACATAAGCTAGCAGTAAGCTATTCACAATCAATACAATCTATTTCTGGGCTTTAGCCCACATGCTGCCAAGCACCTGCTGCCCACCCATTTGCACTGTGTTTATCAACACTTACTGGACTCTGCAGCTGTTCCAGGAACTGGGAGACAGCTTCACTAGTATTCGGTAAGAATTCACACCTCCACGCATTGATCAGGTTGTGTAGCCTGTGCTGTACCACCTCGAGCAGACCCAACAATTCAGAGCCTCCTCCTGACTGAGCTCACATTGCTGGGCAGCCAGAGCTCACTAACCTGGGAGAGATTTATGGTTGGCTGGAGATTTGGTGCTGATAACCTTATTTGTGGTGGTAGATTGCTCCCATGCCAGGATTAGTGCAAGACGCAAGAAGGAACACTGTGTTCTGCTATTTATGTTTTCTGTCAGAGCTCCCTCAAAGACTAACATTATTAATCCCCCTGTCAGACAAATGATGCTCAGTTTTAGGTCATCTATGCCTGTATCTCTTACACCTTGGGTGTTCCTGGAAGAGCTTAAGGTTTGATTGAAGGCTGAAGTATGAAAGTAGCAACGTGTATTAGATGTACTTATTACAAAACTCTTGTTACTGGATTGCTCCTCTCAGGACCTCTAGAACCAGCAAAATTCCAGGAGCTGCACTGGCTTAACTCAGTGCAGAGACAGTTCCCCATATGGCCAAAGATGGGTCAGCACCTACTCCACTCACAGCCATCATGGAAACACTGTGTGACTAACAGCATTAAACAATATCTACAGACTGCAGTGGTCCTAAGAACAAACATGCACAGAGCATGGAGAGCTGTGGCGGTCAGACGTGTAGAAAACAAACCTATTTAGTAAGAACACCATTTGTACAGAACTGCTTTTCAGTGCACAAGTGTGTTCCAAACAAGAATAGTTTCCACTGTTTCCCTTTTCACGCACATGCAGAGCTTTCCAAGCCGTTCACCTTTGGCGAGGATCTCATGCCTGGCCCCTGCTAGAAGGTCAACTTGTTTTGCAACATGAACAGAACTCTTTCAGCTGTCAAAGCTGTGGGGCAGCAAATGAATTTGCTCTTAGATGTTTTCTGTTTCATTTCATCTCTGCCATTGCATTTTTGCACCCTGAACTTCCTTAAATGAGACTTTTGCAGGCTGGTATACAGAATTTATCCCCGAAGAATTGAAATATGTAACAGAGAAATGATGTCTGTGTTTTTTTTCTTGGTGTTTTTTTTTTTTTTGGGGGGGGGGGGGAGGCTTCTTGTTGTTGTTTGTTTGTTTGTTTGTTTGAGTAAAGACTTATTTTGGTCCCAAAAATTTGACAATGGCACAAACAGAACCAGAGCTCACACTGGTATTTGCATAATTTGCATGAGGAAGGCTGAAATGCTTGAAGAACAAACCGTGCAAAGTTCAGGAAGATGGTGCTTTTCATATGTGGTAGGAAGGAAATGACAGAGGCGTGGGCAGTGGGGGAAATAGTCCCCATTATGCCACGCTGGGCTTGCTCCACAGGCTGAATTCTTTCTCACATACATTCTAATCTGTACATTTTCACCAAAATGGTGATTTTGCCCAACTGTTTCCATACAGACCCACCGCTAACAGAACAAGCACAGACAGATGTGAGTTAGCCCTGTGTTTTGGGATGTTACTGGAAGACTGCCTCAGAAAATGTCACTGAATGCCTCTACCGCTTTATCCTGGCAGTTAAGACATCCCTTGGCTGGAACTTAAAGAATAATAAGGGCAGATGAGAAGAAAGGAGGTTTGGTGGAATAAGAAGAGAAATCTTAAAAACCTGCATAAGTCAAGTGTTATAAAGCATATCATAAATTAGCACACCAACAATTGAAAAAAAAAATGATGGAGTAATAGAGCAGTTCAGAACCGCAGCGGAGCTATCCTCTGCTTGCAACTTCCTTCTCTTTCTGTGGTCATTGTGCTTTTGCTAACACCACTTTCATTGCCTTTATATTACCTGGGTTAAATTGCTTCTCAGTTTACATTTCCTGCACTGATTCCATGCGTTCCTTGCCAAATCTCCTTTTCTAGCACAGGACCATTGGACTAAGAAGTGCAGAGGTTGATGTTTCCCTGAGAGGCTGCATCACAGCTCACACTGTACGGTCCATCCAGCTGACCCAGCTGCACCTGAGCTCAAAGGCAGAGCCATGGAATCACAGAACTGCTTGGGTTGGATTGGACCTTAGAGATCATCTGGTTCCAATCCCCAGGAGAGATGGAAATAAAGCTGGACATTTTAAATACAGTATCTTCACATGTGAAACCTGCACCTCAGATAACCTCCATGTGAAAACAAATGTACTTGGCTCACATTATCCAATTACCCATCACATCCAATAGCTCAGAATATTAGATGTGGAAAAAGATCAGAAGCGGGGAGAGGCTGCCAGGAAAGAGAAGGCTTAGGACAGTGCTTCCTCTTGTATTACCAACACAGCTGATGAAACAGGGTTTATTTTACAGTCATCTTAGAGTTAAAAATAGCATGAAAATGTGGTACGTAACAGAAAACATTTACAATTGATAAAAAAACATTGGTGGAAATTAATAAATTAACTGGCAGTATTATGAGAGGAATTATATCCCTAACACACCAGACAAAAAAGTCTGGAAGAAAATATGAGATGATGCCAGAAAAGGACAAGGTCAGAGTTCAGAGCTGAATCCTCAGCCCCAGTACTTCTCACATTTACCCACTGCCATCCTTTCACCACACCCTGTGCTGCAAAACATTGCAGGTTTCAGTGTTTTGTTTCTTTACCTCTCGTTCCTTACAGCTATTCTCTACAACGCAAAGGAGGAGTGTGACAAAGGGCTCAAGCAGTCCATCTTCTGCTCCACAACTTCAGGTTTTGGGGGAAAATAGTTTTGCTATGCATTTTTTTTCTATACATTATGTTATCCTATATATTTTTTCCTCTTTCCTCAACAGTGAAGCATTCCTTTTTCCTACCTTTCTCCCCCCCTATATTTTTCTCTCTTTTTTTTTCTTCCTGTTTTCCTGATTTGAGTAATAACCTCTGTATGGCAGGTAAGAGCCCAGCTGAATCCTCTATCCAGCCAAGCAGAGTCCCTATGACCCTCATAGGGACAGAGTCATTTCACATTTATTACATCTTTGAACAGACTTCAAATACTCATTTATTTTAAGCTTTAGAGCTATCGCATTTCAAATAACTTCCTCACGCTGAACTCCATCTCTTCATCTTTCTGCATGTGCCAAAGACTTCTAACATACAGATTACTGCGAAGATTTATTGGAAATAAAAAGCAATAACAAAAAGAGACACCGAAGCATTGGAACTACACAAAACCATGACTGCACTAAAAGACTGGATGCTTAGAGGAGGATCACATTTGCACCAATGACTAAAATTAATTAGTGCCCATCTTGGCCATGTGTGTGGCTCAGAGCAGGCAACAACTCAGCACAGCAGAAAAAAATTTCCTTCTCCACAATGCAGTAAGACCCTAAGCTAAAGCTAAACTGTTCTTTTTGCTTTCTCTTAAAAGAACACCCTTCACTCTGTCTCAGGAAACTTGAACATTTTTAATAATACAATTTAAATAGAACATGAATAGTTTAAAATGAGTTTAAAAAATTCTGACCTGTGATGTTTAATGGAAGATGGAAAATGCAGTCATCAGAGAAACATTATACCTCACAAGGGAAATGTTCTAATCTATTCTTAACTCATTTTTATCAATAATCCCCATAGCTGGCTTCTAACCATCCCAGATGAGTAATCTAAAGCCTGGAAAAAAACAGCTTAGACAGATGTTATCCACATCTGCAACTCATCTGCCTAGCTATATTAAGTCATTCACCTGTTAAAGACTAATTTACTGGTATATAGATGAATATACTTGAAGGTCACATAGCTAAAAATAACACTGCCTCCAGAGTTTTCTATACAGTGCATACAGTGAAATACATAAATAATCCTTGTCAGAACGCTGCTATAAAAAGGCATTGGCTTGAACTTCTAGCAGCAGACATTCCCAAGTTCATGCAGGGGTTACATTTCATGAATATAACTTAAATACCTTCTCAATGTATATAAAGTTGGGTATTTTATTTTTAGCAATACTTTGTTATTGTCATTGTTCAGGAAAGAAAAAAGCTACAGGCTCATCATGCCCCAACAAAATAATAGCATATGCCTAAAATTAGAAAAATTACATATGAATAGGGTGTTCAGTTGGTGGGGCTTTGTTATTTTTTAATTATTATTATTATTTTAAGGGAATTGCCCTGGGGCTCCCCATCCCCTGCTGCAGCAGGCAGCTATTGCAAGTTCGCCAGTACCTGTTCCCTGATAAATCCAGCCCCCTTGGGCTAAAGAGGGAATGTGGTTGTATTCTATCTTTTGCATCATGAATAATACTGCTAGCAGAGCTGCGCAAGCACACTGTAGTCTCTGTGCTGCCGTTACGACAGCCTCAGTAGGGCTTCATGGAATATTTATTGCTTGTCATTAAATACAAAATGGAAAAATTCTCTTCAATCCCTAGGAGTCTATGACGGCTTTCACCAACCTGAAAGAGGCAAACAAGGTTTCCATCCTTCATTAGGATGAGGAAAGCACCAAAATTACTCTTCAGCATGCAGATCCAGTGCCAAGCCATCACCTCAGTGCCACCCAGCATGGCCTTGGAAAGGTGTCAAGTCCTCCATGCACAGTCAAAGCCTTGCAATGCATTAATGAAAATGCAGCAGAAAAGCCAACGTGGCAGAACACCAGTTACATTAAAAAAAAAGATGTGCAGCTATCAAATTCTTGTCCATAAAAGAAGTTTTCTGAGAGTCAAAACAACAATGGAAAACTGTGATTCTGGTATCAACGCTGTGCCAAGTACTGTCAGAAACAGAAAGGGATTCTGCTCCAACTGAGCAGATGGAAATGTCTTCTATCGCACTGAGATAAAGCAGTCCTCCCTCCTGGGAGCTGACCTCACAGCTCCATCTGAGCAAAGCCTTCCAGCCACCCCCATGCACAGCATGCTCTGGAAGAGAATCGTAGAACCACCAAGGTTGGAAAAGACCTCCAAGATTACCTAGTCCAACTGTCCCCCTACCACCAACATTCCCCCATTAAGCCACGTTCCTTGGTACCACATCATTTGTTCATTTCTTGAACACCTCCAAGGACTGTGACTCAACCACCTCCCTTGGCGGCCTGCTCCAGCACCTGACTGCTCAAAAAGCTTTGATAATGGAACTATTTTTACTATTGATCCCTATCTCGCCCAGAGATGCAAACAGAAAGACAGTGATGTCCCACGAAAAAAAAAAGAAAATAAAGAGAGACTTCCTAAGAAA